TCCACTCACCTCAGCCTCCCAAAGGTACGGGATTACAGGCTGAGCCACCGAGCCTGGCCTTAGTATATTTTGAAAGTCAGGTGGTGTGATACTTCCAGCTTTGTTCTTTTGCTCAAGGTTGTTTTGGCTATTTAGGGTCTTTTATAGTTCCATACATATTTTGGGACTGTTTTTTCTATTTCTGTGAAAAAAATCACTGGAATTTTTTTAGAAACTGCATTGAATCTGTAGGTTGCTTTGAGTAGTACAGACATTTTAATAATATTAATTCTTCTAATTCATCACAGGATATTGTTCCATTTAATCATGTCATCTTCAATTTATTAATCAGTGTCTTATGTTGTCTTTCTTTTTTTTAAGGTTTTTTTAATTATAAACATATTTTTTATTTTAAAATTTTGGGGAACAGTTAAGGGTTAGGTATACAAATATGTATCATTCAGGCACCCTTGTTATTAAGGGGTGTCTCCCCGTCCCCAGACAGATATTGACTACCGTTAATCCCACCTCTCTTCCCCTTCCTACCCCCCCATAGTTTCCCACTACTGTCAATCCTTTTCTTATAGTATTATGATAGATGTTCAAGGTCCACTGTATGAGTGAGAACATGTGATACTCAGATCTTTGTTTCTGTGAGAGATCACTCAGTATTATAGATGCTAGTTCCATCTAGGTTGCTGCGAAATTCATGATTTTGTTCTTTTCTATGGCTGCATAGTATTCCATCGTGTGTATGTAAACCTCACTAATCATCAAGGAGATGCAAATTAAAACTACACTGAAACCGAGCTCGGTGGCTCAACCTGTAATCCCGTGCTTTGGGAAGCTGAGGTGAGTGGATTGCCTGAGTCCATGGGTCCGAGACCCACCTGGGCAACTTGGCGAGACCTCATCTTTACAATAAATCAAAATATTAGCCGGGCGTGGTAGCACGTACCTGTAGTTCCAGCTACTTGGAAGGCTGAGGCGGAAGGATCGCCAGAGTCCAGCAGTTGAGGCTGCAGTGGCTAGGAGCGGTCACTGCACTCCAGTCTGGGTGACAGAGTGAGACTCCAACTCAAAAAAAACCAAAAAAACTACATTGAGATACAACCTAACTCCAGTCAGAATGGCAATTATCAATAACTCAAAAAATAACAGATGCTGGAGAGGATGTGGTGAAAAGGGAATGCTGCTACACTGTTGGTGGGAGTCTTAGGTTTTCAATATACAGATCTCTCACTTCCTTGGCTAAATTTACACCCAGCTACTTTAGTTTTTTGTAGTTGCTATTGCAAATGGAATTGTTTTCTTAATTTCTTCTTTGGATAGTTGTTAGCATATAGGTTTTTGCATGTTGATTTTGTATCCTATAACTTTATAAAATTTAAGTAATATTTCCAACAGTTTTGAGTGGAGTATTTATGATTTTCTATATAAAAGAATATGTTACTGACAAACGGAGACAATTTTGCTTCCTCCTTTCCTATTAGGATGCTTTTATTTATTTCTCTTGCCTAATTTCTATGGCTTTCTTCTCTTTTAATATAATAATTGATAGCTATAAATTTCCCTATTAGCAATGCTTGTGCTGCAGCTCATAAATTTTGGTATGTTGTACTGTTGTTTTCATTTGTCTCAAAGTATCTTCTGATTTTCCTTTTAATTTTTTTTTTTTGACACATTGGTTGTTTAGGAACAATGGAAACTCTTATATATTAACAATGGGAGTATAAAATTGTATACCCACTTTGGGAAACAATTTGAAATTTTCTTGTTAAGCAGATAATTTTCATATTCAACAACCCAGTAATTCTGTTCCTTCTTTATATATCTCATAATCTCTGTTTGAGAGCTGAGTATCTTTGATAGGTCAGTAGAAACTGAGGTATATAGTATTTACATTTGGGAATAGGCATGTCTGTTCTTATGCTAAATCTTTAGGGGTTGAAGTTGATTAAGTCATGTTGAGCTGTATTTGGGTTTTGTTTCTTCAGTGGTTACTCTCAGTAAAACATAGGCCTCAGATTGCTCTAGAATTACATTGTTTTTCAAATTCTTAAAGAACCAGCTTTGGGGGCTTCATTGAGCTTCTTCAATTTCTTTGTTTTCTCTTTTTACTTTTATTGATTTTCACTCTGATCTTTATATTTTTTTCTTCTGCTTTCCTTATGTTTAGTTTTTTCTTCTTTCTCTAGCTTCTTAAGATAGAAGCTGATATCACAGTTTTTGAGAACTTTCTCTTTTTTAATATAGGCCTTTTAATTCTATAAGTTTCTGAGTATTATTTTAATGACATCCATTCCCCAAATTTTAATGTGTTTTCATTTTTATTCAGTTCAACATAATTTCTGATTTCTCTATTAATTCCTGACTTGACCCATGGTTACTACGAAGTGTGTTTCCAAATATGTGAAGGTTTTCCAGTTATCTTTCTGTTATTCATTTATAATATAATTCTATTTTGATCTAAAAACATATTTTGTATGACTTGAGTTCTGATAAATTTATTAGGATGTTTTCCTAGCTCAGAATATAGTTTATCTTCGTAAATGTTTAATGTGCTCTTAGAAAAAATATGTATTCTGCTGTTGTTGGGAAGTACTATAGCTTGAATGTGTCCCCAAAAGTTAATGTATTGCAAATTTGATGCCCAATGTGTTGGTGTTGGGAGTTGGGGATAATGGGAAGTTTTGCATCTTGGGGGCACTGTCTTCATGAATAGATTAATGCCATTATCACAGAGGTATGTTTGTTATCGTGGGAGTGGGTTCCACACCTCTTGTTCATTCTCTCTCTCTCTCACTCTCGCTCTCGATCTCACTCTCACTCTCTTGTTCTCCCTCTTGCTCTCGCTCTCTTGCCCTCACTCTCTCTCTCTCGTTCTCACTCCTGCTCTCTCTCACCCTTCTGCTTTCTGCCATGGGATGATGCAGCAAGAAGAACACTGTCAGATGCTGACCCCTCTATCTTGGATTTCCTAGCCTCCAGAACTGTGAGATAATTCATTTCTGCTAATTTGTAAGTTACTCATCTGTGGTATTTTGGTATAGCAACATAATACAGTATGAAACAAGAGGGATGTTTAATAAATGTTGGTTAGGTCAAGTTGCTTGACAGTGTTGCTCAAGTCATCTATAACAATTTATAACCTTACTGATTTTCTGTGTATTCTACCTATTGTTGAGAGTAAGATGTTAAAATCTCTATACTTACTGATTTGGCCATTCCTCTTTGAAGTATTAAACATTCTTATTAAATATACTTTGAAGCATTTTTATTAGGTGCATAAATATTTAGAATTGCTATATTGTCTTGATGAATTGACCACTATTTCATTATATATTCCTTGCTTTGTTTTTGAATATATTTTATTTTATTACAGATATGTGGAGCACGAGTCAGGATTAGCTACACAAACAGAAGGCATGCAGGTGAAGTTTGGACCTCCAACTGCCCCTCATTTCCCTTGGTTTAGGATCAGGTACCCTTTGGGACACACTTTACAGGTTTTTGCATCTTTTGGGGAACCAAGGTCCCAAAGGCAACTTTAAAAACATCACTAGGGCATTACTAAAATTGTTCTAGTCAAACACTATTTCATACACTGTATATTCTGCTTATTGTTTTCATATACCCTCCCTTCATCTGTTTAATCATAACCAGAATTCTTACCTGTCTAAATAAAGACTCTCTCTCTATCTGATCTGTAGACTGTTTTCCAAGTGGAACTTCCTTCAATGTCACTGATTTGCAGTGAGGTTTCTGTTTAGTGTTTATGACTACATGATAGTATTGAGTAAAGCTACAACTTTATAATTCACTACAATATTACAATGTTTTTTATTTTATTTTAATATTACAATGTTTGTTACTCACGGCAATATTACAATGTTTGACTTCACTAATATTTTTCTGATTAATGAAGATCCAGAATCTTTTAAATCCATATTCAAATCAACTCCTCTGAAAGCACTCTAGACTTCAAATACAATTTTCTAACGTGTTGAATGCTAAAAAACTAATCTCTGTAAAAGGATCCAAAAAAACCCTTATATTTTTTCCAGTGTTACTGCTACTGAAAAAATAATTATACTACAAATCAATTTTAGAAAAAGAAATTTAAAAAATATCAGTATACCTTAAACTTATGGAGAAACCACCACCAAAAGCAGTCATGCAAAAGAGCAATGGATGCTTCTGAGAGAAAATGAGTCTTCCAGGTTTTAAAAACTCTTTTCTGTGGGAGAAAAAAAAGACAGATTGAGGTTAAATTAAAATACATTATAAAATACATTAATGTAAATAGGCTTTATAAAGAGCATGTATTCAATGGTTACAGACCAGCACCGTTCAACAGAAATTTAACATGAGCCACATGTGTATATTAAATTTTCTAGTAGACACATTAGAAAAGGAAAGTGAAATTAATTACATCAAATAATTTATTTAACCAAATATATTTTAAATATTATCTTAAACTAAAATTGATATAACAATCATTAATGAAAGATTTTGCATCTTGGGGGTACTGTGTCTTTGAAATACAGTATATATTTTATACTTACAGTATATCTCCATTTGAACACTAAATTTTCATCAGAAATACCAGATCAGTGTTTAGGTTTTATAAAACACCTGGTTATAATTTTATTCCAAACATAATTAAAACTTTTAAAATAACAGAATCTAACCCTAGTTTTTAAACTTGGATATAAATTAATTAAAAGAAATACAATTAAAAACTCAGCTCCTCCATCATACTAGTCACATTTCAGATGAGATCATGTATGTTCAGGGTGGTATGGCTGCAGACCTAGTCACATTTCATATGCTCAACAACCACACTTGCTTAGTACCTATTGAAAGGGCAGTGTAATATAGCAAAAATGTAAGATACATGCCATGATTTCCATCCTTTTGTACTTAAAACAAATATCAACAATCATTCATGGTATCCTATTCCAATAAGACCCCATCGTGAGCCTTTCTAAACATAGTGTTCTCTCAAAGCAGACAAATGATTGAAATTGGTATATAAAGTTAAATCTATTTTCTGTGACTACTAGAAACTATACATTTGGCTAAAGAAGACAGAGCCAATAGATCATTTTATCTTCTTATTCACAAATTTTTAAAATGTAAGATTCAGTAGAATTCAAGAATTCTTTTAATGAAATCTATAGATATGAATTCATGTTCCTCAAGTGCAAGCCTATAAAAAGGACATCATGCAAACTTTTATAGCAATACAATTCTTTATCATGTATTCTTTGGGGGCTCTTCTTTTTCATAAGCCTAAGCATAGTATGAAGTACATCAGTAACAGCTTCAACTTAGATTTAGTAATTTTTAATAAAAAGAACAAATGTAAACCACATAAACATAAAAAGCAGAGAATTGAAATACAGAGAGTAAAACAATACATTTTACCAGGTAACCACCCCACTCTCATTGCCACCAACCTGGAAATCACTGGCTATTGATCTAGTTGGCTTCTTATACCTGAAGTTTTTCATCATTTCATTATCCTTTAGAGATACTACCCCAAAATTCCCCAGGATACTAGAAGGCTCAAAAGGAACACCTGAAAGGGCTGTGGAGAAGGGCTCTCACAATTATTTCAGTGTCAAAACGGTAGGCTAAAATATCCTGAGCTGCCAGAGCAGAAAAAGAGGAAGGAAAAATATCTGCTATGTTCACATGCCAAGCCAGTGCATGCTAGCAACCCCAGACTCCAGAGGCAGTGACACAAAGGCTAATCCATTCTCTTCTGGTAATCAGGGTGTTAGAAATAATTGGTGTTCTTGCTAAATTTAATGCCCAAAGGATAAAATCTTACTTAACACCTAGTTTGTCATAGTTTTAAGTAAAGGTCTGATTCATTAAATAATACTTGCAGTCTTGTTATATAATACAAATGAAATAAGGTTTACATACATCAAAGTTATGGGTTTTTAAAATAAAAAGATAAATTCGTTCAGCATCCAAATGTCTGGGCAGTTGAGTAAGTTCATTTGCTTTGAATCCTGTGAAGCTGCAACTCTAGAAAGAGGCAAATGTAATGGAACAACAATTATTTCACTTTTCTTAGTATAGTAGGCACATATGACTACAGAAGGCAGATAAATATTTAACTATCACTCACTAACATAATTATTGTACTTCTTTTTACCAAATTCGGTAAAATATGTGTAACCTATTTAAGAAAAAAATTACATTTTCTGCTTCTTTAAAGTTAAGAGCCCTGGCATAGTATTTACCAAATCTCAAAGCAAACAAAATCATATTTCAGAACTAATTTTGACACACATTCAATGATGAAGAATTTTAAGTAGACTACACATAAATAAATACAGTCTAGGCATAAAGAGGAAATTTCTATATCTGTTCCCAACTCTCTCACCTGGTACCCTCTCTATATATTTAGAGCTACATTTATATTATTATCAATATTCTTTTAACCCCGCCTAACACTTCTGATACACAATCTGGCAGAACAAAAACTTTAAATACCTCTATATTCTTCTCTGTCTCCATTTCTTCTGAAAGCTGGAAGACATTTAAAATACAATTTTTAAAACTCTAAATTAAAGGATTTACACATTTTATAAATTTTTCCAGTTAATTAGCATGCATACATAGATAAAATATATATACATATCTCCTACTGAGACCTAAAATACCATTGCTGTGCTAGACACCGGAAATACAAAGATGGTCCTTTGCTCTCAAGCCAGTCATAGTTCAAGAAGGGAATCAGGTACACATACAAACAAAACACAAAGAAAATTTTGATTTTCTAGAAAATAGATTCTGAGGGAGTGTTTAGTATTCAGAATGCTTACTAAGAGTGCTTTTGGAATCATTACCTTTGAAAGGCAAGGGAAAAGACAGAATTGGGCAGATGAAGAAGTCAGCTATGACAGAGATGCAACAGCTACAACTGACCCCCAAAAAAGCTCTAAAGCTGAAAGAGTCTGTCAGAGTTGTCCTGCATTGGGCTGAAATTGCCAGACCTTTCTGTTTCCAACTTAATCAGTCACTGGATGTGGGTGGTTCTTGGAAAGATGTGTCCTTGGAAGAGGAAGTTCTCTGAAGGTGAGGTAGCCCATGAAGAAACTGACAGCTAAAAGGTGTTCACTAACAGCACTCTTAGAAGCTAAGGAAACAGGTTTTTATTTGAAAGGAAAATCTTTCTAGCACATTTTCATGTTTACCACATTGCTTTACACAGATACAATAGCTTTGGATCATATAGTCATGCTGACATACATATACGAGTGTGTATTTTACAGGTATAACAGGCTTATTAATTTTCACATTCCAACTTTTCTCCAGAAATAACTAAGCTTATGGGCAAGTTTTACATACAGACAGATACACACATTATACATACACATTACATATGCATTTACATTAAAGAGGAGATGACATATAAAATAAATTTTAAAAGATAATCATTGCTACCAGAAAGAGGATAACATTATTGACATTTTAAAAAGTGCACACATGAATAAAAAAGAAAGACTAGGGAAAATGAGATCAAATATGAATAGAAAGAAGGATATATGCTGGACAGCTACAGATACAATGAGTTAGTAAAGGTGGGGTCAGAAATGGGACTATATTAAATTAAAAAGCTTATACAAAGTTAAGGAAATACTTAACAGAGTCAAGAGACAACCTGTAGAATGGGAGAAAATATTTGCTGATTATTCATTCAACAAGGGCCTAATATTCAGGATATACAAGAAACTCAAAAAATTAAACAGCCCCTGACGGCAAGGCGCCTGCAGCCCCACGCCGCGCGCGCCCCTTCCCGGCCCGGA